TGAGACTCATGCTCTCAGAAGCCGCAGTCCAAGATCTCACAATCTTGGGTCTCGACGTAAGTGCAGCATTCATGGCAAGTCCATTAGGCCGTAAACTTGGGAAGCGCATTCGTGTCATTCTCAAATTCCCTCCAAACATCACACATAAGGATGGATCCCCAGTTTTCTTGGAAGCATGGAAAGCCATCAACGGGCTTAGGTCCAGTGGCCGTGCTTGGGTCGATCACCTTTCAGCTTTGCTTCAGAGGCTCAACATTGTGCCATCATCAGTTGAGTCAACCGTGTTTGCCGGAGAGATTGATGGTAAGAACGGCAAAGCGTGGGTTCAGGTGGTTGCCTATGTCGATGACCTTTTGGTCTTCTCAGCTTCCAAGGAGCATGTCTATGCTGTGTATGATTTCTTGTCAAAGCACTTGAAGATCAAGATAACCGGGTCTATTCTTTCAAGCAAAGAAGGGGGTGGTAAACTTCGTTTTCTTGGACGCAATATCGGGAGAAGGGCGAATGAATCTAAGATCACTGTGCACATTGATGAAAACTATTTAGATTCTACTTTTGAAGCTTTCGGAATTGTTCGTGGAAGCGATTGCCCTCCAGATTTGAGACCAATCCTTGACAATGAAGAGAAGTGTGAGCCTCTATCGACTGAAGCAGCATTGCGTTACAAAGCAGCTCTTGGAAAACTTTCGTGGTTGTGTCAAAGTTTGATGTTTTTTAGGCATTTACATCACTTTGCTGGCCACCGGTATGGCCAATCCCGAACATCGTCACGAATTGGCCCTCCGAGCTGTCCTCAAATGGTTGTTCAGCCAAAGAAGAATTGCTCAGCATTTTCCTAGTCCGGAATCCACATTCGATGAGCAATCATCCAGGAACCTTGTGGTCTTCTGCGACGCATCCTGGGCACCCTTGAGATGCCTGAAGAGGCGCTCAATCACAGGAAGTGCAATTTTTTACAAAGGATCTTTGGTAAAAGGATTCTCCAGGGTCCAACAAGCCGTAGCACTTTCTAGTTGTGAATCGGAGCTGTCAGCATTGGCCGATGCATGTCAAGAATCACTAGGAGTAAATAAGATCTCGAAGCATCTTTTCTTGGGTATCGATAATGATATGCGTGCATCCATGAAAGTTTCTTCGGGTGCAATCAGGTGTTTCATCTTGCATCGTTCCTGTTTGCTGCCAAAGCCCAAGCTGATTCGACGGTGTCCCAAAGTGTTGAGCAACCCGATGCTATCATCGAAATGTATTGCGATTCTCAGGCTGCAATCCGGATACTCCAAGCCAGTGGGCTTCAGAGGCGATCAGATCAAGACACGTCGAATTGCGTGTTTATTTTTGTCAAGAGCTAGTCAAGCAAGGTAAGATTAAACTCAATTGGATCGATGCCGGAGGTCAAATTGCTGATGCATTGACCAAGACGCTAGGGGCAAAGCTCTTTCATCGATTCGTTGTTCTCATGGGGTATCTTGAAAGGAGTGAACTCTCCACTGAAGCATATGCACATGAGCTCATTCTCAGGTCTCAGATCCGTACCTCGCCCGCCAAGTCCAAGTCCATGAAGTCTCAACAGGTAGCATACTCGGATTTACTGCCGAGCAGTCATTCCGGAGTCCCTGCAAACGAGTCAAAGGTAAAACCAAATGACAATTCTGCCAGTTCTGTCCCTGATATGTTGCCGGGCAGCCCATCTAGTGTGTCAGAACCTGAGGCTATCCGAAGCTTGTTGATTGACGCCAGATCCATATCGCAAGTTCGGACACCAAGATTCGAGAACATCTTCTTGGAGATTTGCTGTGACCGCAATAGCCAATTGAGCAACATAATCTTTAAGATGTGTCCCCACAACTGGTTGATCATCAGAGTCACGGAAGATAGTCCTCTTGAGGTAAATCAGCCAGAAATCATCCAGCTGCTTTCGAGGCACAAAGGTTTCAGTTTTTCCCATTGTTCACTGCCGTGCACAGGAGGTAGTAACATTCAGAATCTGAATAAGAATGAGTCCTTGAAGCAGCATCGTCATGACACATTTTTCCATTTGCTCAGTTTGTGCGAGAAGATTTGTGCAAGTTCGAGTCACTTTTCTTTTGAGTTGCCTAAGAGAAATAACTATTGGAAGAGTGAACAGCTTCACAAGTCATTAAAGAACGTTGGAAGAAAATTGTTCTGTGAATTCCCAAAGTTGTGTTCTTTCGATGTGCCAGTCTCCAAAGTTTTCTTGTGGGTTGGATCGCATCCCACGATTGTTCGTAAGTTCTCGAAACATGCAAAAGAATGCAGTTGTTCGTATCACCTCCCATTCAATTCAGTCGATTGGACATCTACCGGCCGCTATCCCGAGAATCTTTGCAAGGTCATTGCCAGTGGAGTGATCTCCATAAGCCGCGCCGAGCCATCAGCATCCGGAGGTGGATACATCATGTTTGAGCCAGGGTGGAATGACATTTTGTTCAGTGTGCCGAATCTCGTCAGTCACCCAATTGATAGCTCTAACTGAATCAGTAGCCATGCCGTGGGATTGTTTTGGTGAGTACACCCAAATTGTCTTGCAGCAGAAGCCAAATATATAGTGGGACTGTTTTGGTGAGTACACCCAAATTGTCTTGAAGCTAGAGCCAAGTATCCATATCTATATATATATATATATATGAATCTGCTAAGTTTTCTCTCGAGCTTTGACAAAGAGCCCAATTCCACTTTGTCGATGTTGGCTGAAGTCATGATCCTCATGGTAATCTTGCAAGTGGCGACATTGTGCTACATGATGTCGAAATCGGAAAGTCGTGGCAATCGGGGTGGACATCGTTCACCAAGAACTCCGAGGTCACGTTCCAATATTCGTCGCCGCAGTCGAAGCTCATCACCAGCTGCATCTTCATCCAGAGCCCGTCAGCGGAACATGCCGCAACTAAGCTTGGAAGATGCACCACGAAGTCATGGATCGCAAAGTCAAGGTGATGCTCCACCAGTACCACCGCCGAATGAGCTGCAAGCACGATACAACCACTATAAAGGGAGGACCCTTTTGAGTGTGGCTTCCACGGGGAAAGTCCACCTCACTACTTGCAGCACTTTGAGGCGTGGCACCAAGACTGATGAAACTTTTCTATGCAGCGCATGTTTTCCACGAGGCATCTTGGACATCAACAAGTTTGCATTGAAAGTGGGCATCCAGAACCAGGTTTGCCATGCAGTGGACTCAGCAGACCAATGCGAATGTCCACGGTGGGGGCCTGTCGCGATTCGAGCTTGCTGCAAGGTTTGCTTGCCTCCATATCCAACTCCTCCAAAGCAACCTACAGGAGTTGGTGCCGGGTCACATGGGCAGCCGGATTTGCAAAGCTAAGATGGCATTTTGAGCCAAATTAGGATTTAATCACGATTGCCGAAGCTTGGATAAGTTGTGAAAGAGTTCAAAATGACTTTAAGACCAGGCCTAAAGAAGCTTAAGACTTAGATGTTGACATAAAGTAGATCTGCCATATAGCCTTGATGGAATAAAGCCGTGGCAGTTGTGATCAGCATAGCTTAATTTTCGTTGCAGCTGTTGGCCTTTCCAACGGAAAAGAGTGAACTCATCAAAGCACTGCTTTCGTTCGTCTGCTTTGCTTCAATAGTCTAAAGTATGATGAAATGTTCTCAAGATTGTCCGTGCCAGGTGATGAAGCCATCACTGTTCGGGCCAGAAGCCAAAGTGTTCAAGTGAACGCCTCCTTCGGTTGAGCTTCCAACTTGACTTGAAAACGAAATATTCTCAGAAATTTTGCTTAGGTGTGACCATTCTGAGCGTGCCTGAGTTTCGGTCACGACTTTGCTAGAGGTCTTCAATGAATCTCAGATAGGATTGAACTTTCGAATAATCTCCTACATGTGCAGTTCTTTTTGACGTCAAGCATTTTGTTCGCAACTGTTCCTCAAATGACGGTCACAAAAGGGAGTGTGGAAAGTTGAAATCACTCGTGATCCAGTCATTTCCAGTTGTGACCGTGAAGGTTACTATGCAAGTTTTGGGAGTCTATGAGTTGAAGCTCTAGATATCCAGAAGGTCTCCAATGTGGCCATTGTCAACCTTCGTTGTGGATGGATTCCCAACCATGGTGCACGGATCAACCGATCCTATGCCTGCATTGGCTCAAGGCCGAGCCATTCGTCGTTCGAACGCATGACATGAGTCAGCGAGAAAAGGTGCGATGTGTGTTTGGGTTCGGGTCATGTCCCAGGTTCCCTTTCATGCTTCATGTTAGGTTCCCCACATGTTCCAATCTGGTTCAGAAATTCCGCACCTAAGGGTGGGGGCAGAAAATGTAAGTTACATTTTTGACGCCCCCCCAAAATCCATGGGCAACGGGGTAAGGATCATGTATGTAACTGTTGGGCAGAAAATGTAAGTTACATTTTTGACGCCCCCCCCAAAAATCCATGGGCAACGGGGTAAGGATCATGTATGTAACTGTTCCATACATGGGCGTTCTGCTTATAAACCCAGCACAATGGCTCAACTCCACCCGTTTCTGCAACGCGCTCTGCGGATCCGCGAGTCCCGAGGTGACTTTGACCGGACCGGAGCTCGGGCAAACCAGCTACGTGTTTGCGAGCTTTGGAGAGGATTTGCACCTCAGAGCTTTGGCAAAGGTGGGTGACCTGGTGTTGGTGATGAAGCGAACTTGCAAAAGATGGCCAAAGTCTACCCCGTATGCTGAATTGGGGGTTGAAGTCTTCAGAATCCTGAAAGGATCTTCCTTGGTCCCACTAAGACTGCCCCTGCAAAGCTTGTCAAAGTAAATAGTCTTAGACTTAGAGTGTCCACTTTGGGGGTTGGGAACTGGAAGTGTCCAGAGTGCTGGCTTCGAAGCCCAAGCCATCCCAAGCCCAGATTTCCCAGAAAGGCTTGGGTCTAGTCTAGATTTGCCCTCAGTGCCTCAGGATGGTCCTGGACCCGTCTTGGGGCAGCACATCAACCCCTGGAACCTCCAAACTTGACCCTACAAAGCTATTTTCTGAGGTCATTTGACTCCAGGAATGCAGGAATGGAGCCGAACGGCTGAGATCTCAAAGAGACGTACTGCACGAAGTTCCTCTTCTTGGAACTCGCGTGCCTCGTCCATGGCTTTCAGCAAGTAGTAATCCTTGCGGGTCACCCGCGGGTCATGAGACACGTGGCAACAGGTCGAACGGACTAGGAGTCACATGTCGGGGTGGTGTTTAGCGCCCAAGTGAGCGGATAATGGGCACCCCTAACCTCCATTAAGCACCCCATTTGTGACTGCTTGGAATAGCGTTTTTTGGTGGGGACCCACCTTTCTTTCCGGGCACGCTAGGAAATCCTGAAAGTGTCGTCGCTTCTTCTAGTGCGTCATGAGCTGCCATCACCTGAAGACTGGTCGAAGCAGGTGAAGCTCTCTACACTGCCTAGCTACATAGACTAGCTGTCAAAGCTTGGTCAACGGAAATGACAGTGTTCAAGAGACCTGGATGGTTCAGGATGGTGCGGTGGACATCTCTTCATTCCAAGGTGTACCCACCACCAAGCAACCTCGACCTCAACCCGTTTCTTAATCTTCCATGCCTGGGACATGTTATTGACATTGATCAATTTGCAGGAACATCTTGACAACTTGAGGCCCTTGACAAAGTGCAACAGCGTGACACGGCTGGTCCAGCCTTGCCCATGTTGTTTGGACCTTGTGCTACCTCAACCTAAGAAAGTTGTGTCTGGACAATCACACCACATATTGGTCGCTGCCCTTCTTTCAAGAAGAAAATGGACCTATACTTCCTGGAAGATTAACATGGAACCTGAAAACGACGGGCCTCTAGAGGAAAGCATTCTTTCATATCAGAGTGCTATTCTCATGGTCCGTGTTACTGTACCGGTTGGCTTTCGGACTGTAAAGGTCTTAGCTTGGAGCTTTTGGGGTGGAGCGGGGAGCTGCTCTTTTTTGGGGGTCATCACCTTTTCTAAAGCATGGCCGGGCCTTTTTTTGCCGGAAAAATGCAATCCAAAGTGGCTGCATGCCCGACATGCCCCCCCCCTTTAAATGCGCTGTAGATGGGCACCGTTCCTTCTTCCAAGGCACGGGCAAGGGCTTGGGCAAGGTCTGCAAGCCGTAGACGTGCTGAACGCACTCGAAGAAATGAGCCTCCAAAGGGCCACTTCTGGGCAAATAGGCCAACAAAGCAATACCTGAGGCGCTGACGATCAAAGGTGGGACAGTTTGTGCGGAAAGAACTGGACCGACAGCGCCACTGACGCCACTGACCGTGCCACGGGGATTTGGTCCGATCACAGGCAATGTTACAAGCGGTTTCAGAACTGGACTGCAAGGCTGACCACTGAACCCCTGGCGATTTGCTAAGACTGGCAGCGTGTGGCTCCTGGAAGATCATTCTTTCGTGCTGAAGGTGGTGGGTAGGCTTGTCGTTTGCGGAAAGCCTCCATGTTTGTTTGGGCTACCGAACAGTTAAGGAGTTCTGTGCTGGTCAGCAGGTAAGAAGAAGTCCAAAAAAACCAGCTGCAACGTGGCGCCAGTACCTCCTGATTCCAGGATCTCCCGACTCCATCTCCTCTGCTCCCAAGCCGCTCTCAGAGGCTAAGGCTGCATGTAAGGTCTTCGCCAGCAGATGAGCGCTATCCTCAACCCAGTTGGTGTAGAGACAATCGCCTTGCTTCATCAGCATCACTGCACCATGATGCCAAAAAACCACCCTGATTCATCCCACGCATGCCACTTCTGGGCCGCAAATGTAATTATGTTAGCTGCCTCCAAAGAGAGGGATGGAATGGGGCTTAAGCTTTCGGAGGAAGACTTTCAGAGATCGGGCAGCTTTTCGCGTCAATCCAAGAACCCAATTTAGGATGAATGCCACATGTACCTCGTGGTGCCTGCGATGCAGCGGGTTGGAAACCACAAAATCTGACTGATTTCACATTCGGGCTTGAGAATCTGAGTATATGTGCATCTGGCCCTTTTTGCCCGCAAAACCCTCGAAAAGAAAACAGCACTACTTCCGCACCCAGTCACTGATGAGCACCACTTGCGCGTGCGGCCGGCCGAAGTGCTCGCGGCATAGCTGGGCCACTGCTGCAGCGTCGCCCCAGTGGAGGGCTGCCGCACGGACCCCCCTCAGCTGACCGGCCCAAAGAACTTGCCCCAAACACCTTCTGGGAAGGTACTTGGATCCCTAGGGTTGGTTTGATGCCGAAGTCGGAGTGGTTTTAGATGGTTTCGGGTTCTGAGCTTGGGGACACCCACTCTTTGGTGGAATGGAAACAGAACCGATGGAAGCCGATGGGCTAGCCAAAGGCCTGCTCTTTTGCAAGTCGGACTTGTATTTCTTAGGTTCTGGCAATCACAAGTAACAAAGAGCGTCCAAAAAACCAGCCTTTTTGGGTATAGTTTGCTGCGAAAGAAGCTGGTGGTTTCTGGAGTTGAACCTCGAGCAACATCACCTATGACACTTCCCAAAGATGAGGGCGGGCCGGCACTGAGGGACTACTAGTGCAGGTTGGCCAAAGCTTAAGTCTTCTCGCCACCTGAATCTGAAGGAGTACATACATAATTCTAGTCATTCTAGTCATCGTTGCCGCATTTCACTGGCCCGTGTTAGCAAATCATGGTCGCCTGTGCCTGCAACGGGGTCGTTTTCAGCCAAGGCTCGTTCCATGCAAAACATTCTGCAGTTCCTGCAGGGAGAGAATCTGCAACGAGTTTGGAGGTAGGTGGAAGGTCCTAGGTCCCATGCTAGGCTCCGGACGCCAAAAAAATGATAAAAGAGGCACCGAGTCCATAGTGTCAAACACACGCAAAGACCAACACCACTTGAATGACCCTCCCTTCACGCATGGTGAATGATGCCTAGCCGAGCCCTTCTTGGCTTGGCTAGGCCTAGGCTTAACCCGCAGCCAGAAGAGTCTATACCAGTTGATTGGTGTTTACTGATTTTTGCCAGCTCCAGCTTGGCAAAAGCCAAGAGGAGAACTCTCGGCTTTCTGCTTGTTGAGTTGCTCTGAGTGACTTGCTCCAAGAAACTGTCAACTGTTTGGAATGGATTCCAGACCAAGGAAACTTCCCCTCGAGCAGGGCTGTGGACGATTGTGGGCAGGTGCAGCATCCTATGGACTGCCAAATCGAGCACCAAAGTATGGACTAAATCGTTGGTCGATTCGTTTGAGGGGTCAAAGCATCAATACACTTACAGTCGAACCCAGACATGACCTCTGCTTTGATGGTGAAAGCACCCGAAAATTTTGGCTCCAAAACAGGGGTCATTCAGGTTGTAGATATATATATATACCCTCCTATACCAATCATGGAAGTGGATGGCATGGCCCCTGGAAAGACCGTGTTCCTCTACAATCAGGTGGTGAACTCCACTTCCATGTTAGTGAGTCCGAGTGCATCTCGTATTCCAATCCCATGGGTTCTGTACTGGTTCTGTCTAACTCTGGGGACCTTCCTCCTACGGAGGCCCCCAACCATTCCAACCATTCCAACCACAAACCTTCACGGTGACCCGTGGCTTCGTCCAAAATGTCGGGCGACCGCCCTCCAAGCCTGAATATTCACATCATACAGTATATGATCACATCTTAAGAAGTGATTCTTCTGACTCTACCAACCCAAAGGATATCATCCCATAGTATATACTCCCATGTGATGATATATACTCCCCGTGGTTGGGGATCTTCTTACACTCATCTCATCCCCCAACCCATGAGGCTCTTGTTCTCCTCGACCCGATGTGGCAGATCCGTGGCCACCAACTTCCGCGGCTGGGCGTTCACCGCCACGGCTTTGGCCAAAGCACCTAGGATGACGTGCTTTGAAGGATCAGCCGAACCACCAGAGTGAAGACATGTGAAAACCGATCCTTTTTTCTCTGTTGGATATGTACTGAGTACCGCAATTCGTTATATGATAACTGTTTCGTTTTTGCATTTTGGTTTGACTTGCCAGGATTGCAAACTGTAGTGGTTGATTGGAAGCATGTTTCATCCACCTAGAAGACGGCCCCAACGGGCAAAAGGTGTCTCTGGTGATTTCCCACACCGAGTAAACAAACAACATTAGTTTTTGCATCTATAACATCCTACGGCCGTGTTGAACTGTTGAACGAAGCCGTGCCGAGACCCGCTGCCAGTCCCAGCTGCGAAGTTCTGAAACTCAATGCACCTTCCTCATCTCATGACCACATGCTTTTCTGTGCATCTGAAGGATGCTGTGAGAAAATAAAACTCCACCAGCATCACCCTCCCCCAAAGGAAAATCGATTCACAACTCCTTAGAGATGCCAAAGCAGAAAATATATACCAGGATCAGGACCACTACCAGAACCCCTTAAGGAGTGTCTAATAATAGCCCCTACTATAGCAGGAGACGTGTCACGTCGGTGTCCAACTCCTCGATGCCTGATGGGTTCCTCCTTTAAAAGGCTCACCGTTTTCAAGCCTCTAATAATCGACCAAAGCCATCCCAGCTTTGTGCTAATCTGGCTCCCGAACCATTTCCAAATCAAGGGGAACCGAAGGAGCTCCACCTGTTCTTGTTTAGTGAGGAAACCAATTCGCAGAACTGACTTGTGCTTAGTAAGGAAATGTAAGGAATGAGGGAATGGATCCAAAGGAATCTCTATACGGGGCTCATTCCGTATTTCCTACTAAGCACCAGTCAAAGGCTCAAGGCTCAAGGTGATCCACTCTTCATGGTATATAACAAGTGATCAAATCCTATGAAGAGTGGATCACCATGAAGATCACTGATACCATGGGAAGTGAGCTATAAGTGGTTCGAGCTGCAGGTGCTTTGCCGGTGAACATCCCATCTGTGTCGCTCGAACCACAATGGAAACAGAAGAGATGTGGGGATGATCGGCGCGCCGCGCTTCTTATAGCAGTCGTCCCCTGCTAACCCACTACACCACACACGGAACTGGTTTACCCAGATACTGATACTCCATGTATGGAATATTTACCTACATGTACCCCTGAAACCACCCCAATGCATGTAAATATGTCATACATGGAGTGTCTGGGTTATATAATCATGTTTAGTCGTTTGTGTTTGTTTAAACATTCATTTCATACCCTATAGACTCACCTGAAAACGTGCTAGGCTGATTAATCTGTTCAATTGGCCCACCTTCCATGTCTTTGATGACTTGAACTCACTCGTTGAAACACAAGTGGAGAAAAGTTCCGCTGCTCTACCCTTCCTGGTGCTCAGCCATATGCAGGTGTCCACAAATTGAAGAAGATCTTCTCGTAGTCTAACATGCACATCACCACGTCCGAAAAAAAAAAAAAAAAAAAACAAACAACCTGCGAGCCAAGCACAGAGAAACGCCCAATTCTGTTCCGCCCGCGAACGCGAACCCCCGCTGGCGAGTCCGTCCCAGTGACCGTTGCCCGCGCCCAGCTCCAAGACATCCTTGCCGTGCAGCAGCGCCCGGCCGCGACTGGAGGCAAGGTGAGCCATCAAAACCTGGGCTGTGGGGGTCAGGGCACGGAAGGACACATAGCCAAACATCGATGGTAGAACACTCACATGACTCCTGACATTCTTGACCATCTTTGCATCCATTTCTGAGATGAGAGCATTTTGTAGATGAGAATTGTGAGATATGATGGAATCTGTTGTGGTAATAATGATGTCAGTGTTGACCACCTCTCCGAGCGGCAACAGCTGGGGGCCAGGTGGACTCGCCCGTGGGATCCTGAAGCCCTGGGAACCAGCCGATCTCTGCACGCCCCAGCGCCATTGGGCCACGGCAAGGGTACAGCAAGGGGTGCTACCTATCGAGCAATCATGGTATGGCAATTCACTTCACTCATTGAATTTGCACCACTGATGACAAGCTGAAAGGGGCAATTAAAAGTACAGTACTCTTGCATATCATGCCCCGGTCACTTCCAGCAAGTGTTCGCTTTTGATCTTTCAGCAGCCCTGCTCTGCAACGCTACCATTGAGCGATACTGCGACTTTGGGCTCCTCAAGTGGACTTGCTTAAGCCACATCCTCTGGAGCCCCAGACGGCGTGCCAGCCAAGAAGGATCCATAAGCAACAACACAACGTCTGGAGATTTAAGTTTAGCATCACTCGCATCTTCATTCGTAAATCCTTAGCCAGAGGTCGTCGCTCCCCATCCAGACCTCATCCTCACCGTCGTCCCCGCCAACTCTGGCACCCGGTTGTGTCGGTGGCGACACGAACAAACTCCTTGAACCATCTTGAACCTCCCCATCTCCCCATCTCAGCCGCTGCAAACCGCACCGCCCATGAGCTGCGCTCGTCCTTCCTCCGCTTGGCGAAGGCCGCGTTGCTACGCTCCATGATCCGAACCTGGAGCACTTCCTCCTGGGGGCGGGCTCCCGGGGCGCTGCCTCGTTTGAAAACCTCCCCAAGGCCTCTTCCAGAGGTTTTGTACCTCCAACGGATGGATTATTGATCAAGAGTCTACATGATGGTGGTGAAGGCCGGGAGGGAACAATGAAAGGGGTGCTTAACTGAGCACCGACGACCCGCTGTGGCCTGCGACACTGGAGTCAGGTGGATCTGCGACATCATGTGGTTCACCTTCAAGACTCCAATGACTCTAAACATCTTATGGTCGCCATGGGGGGGCGTCCTCCGTGCCGAAGCAAGCTTCTAACCATCACCATTGCTACCTGGTGGATGCTGTTGGTAACATCTGCCAGTTGAGCTGCACCCTAAGCCGAGCAAACGGAGACGAGCAAACTCGGCCCGGCCATTTTCTCGTGTTCTCCCCGATCTGAGGTGACCAATCCGAAGCCCTTCCCTTACCAAACAACCGTTGTCCGTGCCATGGTTCCAACACACGTCGCCCCCTCGCCCCCGCCCCCCCTGCGCTGTCCGTACTCATGGGGTCTCGGCGAAAGCCCGAAGACCAGCCACACGAGCTCTTTAATGGATCGCCTCGCGCGACCAACGCCCCACAGCTGCAGGGCGATAATAATACACGCGTGGTAGACCCACAAAAAATACCACGTGAATCCCGCTGTGAACTTTCTTTTTTGAAGACTAGCATCTTTCTACTGGTATAGTAATTATGCGTCTCTCATGTACCATGTCCCAGCATCAAGGCCGAAAAATCGTGGATGTGTGTGCGTGTGTTTGTCTTCGCGCTTGAAAGGGTTGAACAATGCCATCCTCCAAAAAGGCCAGTGCTACAGTTTCCCCTTGCCTATCCCCGGAGTCCTGGGTCTCTTGCAAAGAAAAGCCGGCACGGTGCCACTTGCCATTGGGAATTGGGATGGGTTCGGATAGAAGGGGGGGTGATGCAAAGTCCCTACAAAAAAGCAGTCCTCCAGGCATTGGGACCTTCCTTGCTTTTGCTTGACTCAGTCCTTCCTCCTCCATGTAGGAATGTAGGTACAAAAGGAAAATCAAACATTTGGTTCAACCGCGCCACAGCTCCCGTCCAATGATGAAAGAGCCTTTGACGCTCTGAAGTGCATCATGGGAAGAGAGCCAGTGGCCCACCTGAGCTGGCATCATGGCGTTGGAGACCATCTTTAGCCAAACATCCTGGACCCAAGTCGAGGTACCCAAAAGTATATATACCGAAACAAAGTTCATTCATCCCAGACTTGGTCCTGGAAAGAAAACCCTTTGCAAATACTATAGTTAACTATAGTGGATTGAGAGTAAATGGCACACCCCAAGAGGTGGTTTATATGGACCCCCATCTAGAGGACATCATGGGGTCTGTGCCATCTAAACATCGGCCGTCGACCCTTTAGCCTTTTGATCCTTTCTCGAGGAAACGGCTGGGTCTCTCAGTCTTTCATGGATCCATCCTCAAACAAACACCAACCCTGCTACACACCCGAACCTATGGAACAGCTTCCTTTTCCCCAGGCACATACTTGTTGAACGTTCCAAACAGGAATTTAAAGTGAGGAACACTTTCAGAATCTCCTCTTTGTTTGTTGCTCTGGCGTGCGCAAAAAAAACAACGGTCGTCTGTAGCTGCTGCAGCGAAAGGGGTGCAACAAATGGAGATCCACAAGGAGCGTATGGTAGATATGTTATCTGACTCCCAGGTCATTTCCCAGTCGCTTTGGGTAGATCTGGTGGATCAAGAACGCCTAGATTGATACCCTAAGCCATGGGGTTTGAACACGTTGTAGAAGTAGAAACTGCCAACGATTCGGTGTTTGTTGGTGTTTGATGTCTGGTTTCATGAGGGTTCCTGCGGATTTTCTCTAGTCTTCAGTCTTCTTGGACAGTTGTATTCTCCTTCTTCTCGGTCCCAAGTGCCCACCATGCCCGTGCACGAACAGAACAGATCTAAGGATTTGGTCGAGGGTGTAATGAAAAGTAATGAAACCCATTTATGAACCAAAAGGGGTTGAGGAACTAAGAGTACATCTAATAGTTTAAGTAATAATGCACATCACTATCTATCTCTGTGGAAAAAATATGTTTCTTGGATTTCCGGCCGCGCATCCACCGTCAAACCGAAATACACCGGTCCCATACAAACACGGTTTATCTCAAAAAAACACACGTGTGGTTCGCATTCTCGGCCTCTTCCGGCGTGCTGGGCGCTTTGGTGGAAGCCGCCACTCGCTTTGGGCCTGATGCCACTGCGAATGCCACTGGGCTTGAAAGATCTGGAGAACACGGCTAGGAAGAAAGACCAGCTCGTGGGATGGAGATTCTTCCAAGTGGTGGTGAATGGAAGAGTCCACGCGTTTGTAGCACAAAACCCTTGGCAAAAGCAGCTCAGTTGTTCAGTAGAGACCGTTCAATCACATTACAGTAAGTCAATGGTGGGCCAGCGAAGCCAACTGCAAAAGGAGATGAATGGACCAACACAAATGTTCGATGTGGCCCAGCCATGCCCAGCCCACTCGCCTGCTGACTTGGGGCTCTTCTCTGCGCTGCTGGCACTTTTCCAGGTCTCGCACCAGGGGGCACCCGGTGGTGTCTTCTTTGATGGGGTGAACGTCCATGAGGTGGTCACGAGGCGCGTGGGTGAAAACAATGATGAAGCATGATTAAATAAATATTCTGGGTATGACTACATCTCGATTACACATTTAGACCTGAGAAGGTGGGACGAAAGCGGCTTTGTTTAGCAGGCAGCTGGAATCAAAACCAATGGTTCAATTGCCCGCTTGTTGAACCAGTCAACGTGCCCGCTTCCAAGAACCCATGGCTCTAGCAGGTCAGTGGGGAACGCTTGTGGAAAAATCTTGTTACCCTGCTCCGACATGAAGCAAAAACAAAACTACTGCCATGGTTCAACTGCTCGCTTGTTGAACCCGTCGGCGTGGCCTCACAAAAACACCGGTGGCTCTGAGTCAGACGAACGCAAGTGAAAGCAACTAAAAGCTAAAGGAAAAGACAACAAAACATTTTAAAAAAAACAACATAATGAAGCAAAGCAGAGCCTCCTTCCTTTCTCAACATTGGGTTTGTTAACCATCTGGGACGTAACCCCATACGACTTCGCGATGCAAATGATGCAGAAACCTTTTGGCCTTCCATCATCTGCATCACCAACTGCCCAAAATTGGCCTCTGCCAAACATAACAGCTGGCCGCTCTCCCCCCACACTTCCACTACACATCGTTCACAAGAACAACTTCAGCTTGGCCTATCGGCTGGCTTTCTATATATTACTCCCAACCGGGGGATCCTGAATATCTGGGTTGCAATCCATACGGGTACGTATCGCAGCATATCCCAGCATCACAGTGGAGACAAATATGCTCTTGTCTCAATACAAGGCAGTCCAAGGATGACGGGGTCCCGTTCCCCAGGGTGCCTTTTTGGTGGGGAGATGTCCCCCATCAACGCGCGGGGAAAGGTTCGGTTCCGGTCAACAGGGGGTCCCAGAAGAAGAATCCACCGGCATTCCTTCGTGCAAATGACTATCTAAATTGCCGTGAATTGTCAGATAAAGCATACATCAGCCCAAAGCATTGAGAGACCAACCCGATCGAGAAACTGAAAACCAAAAAAGAAAAGCACATGAGCCTCCCGGGCGCCGAGAGAAGCCTCCCGGGCGCCTTCGGTCTGCACGGGTCGGTCCGAACCGAGTCGACCCTCGGTACGGGGGGGCGGTTGGGGCCCCACCTGTGAGCTCCTCGAGGCTTGTGCATCGAAGAAGCTCTCGGCCGTCCAATGCGGGGATCGCCTGCGGACGAATTCAGGGGTTTAAGGCTTGGCCCAGGTCATGGACATGGAGAAAAAGCTTGGAACTTCATAACTTCATCTGTTCTCTCAAGACGTAAGACGTGTGATGATTTTCAGGGCTGTTGCTGATCGAACAAAATGTGCATATGGTCACTAATGTGGAGGTTTTGCTGAAACTTGGACTGGAAGAAAAGCCCCTCCACACTCGGGGTTGAAAGATGTTGAAAGAAGCACTGGCATTGTTGGAGCATAAGACTGGTTGTGAAGTCTGGAACCACAAGGCAAACAGCACACATGGAGGCTGCGTACTTAAAGGGAGTCCATGGTTTTTGCCATTGATCTTAGATCCAAAGGCATTGGCTTAGCATCCTGTGAAAACGCAAACAGTCCCAAGCTCCAAAATGGACATCTCAAAGGCCTAGGAAGACATGGGCCTTCAAGATGTCTAGGACTGTTTCAACAGGACTAGCTGTTCACTGGGCCTAGACATCAAAGCGAAAATGGCCCATAGTGAAACTGACGGTGCCAAACTTTGGGTAGTAGGAGGGCTGCCCTACAACTGGATAAAGTGCTGATGTGTTCATCATCAAAGTCACGCAACCCACAAATCAACTGGAGACTTGGCTCGTGTTCTGATCTGTGCTGCCTTTCGGGTCTTTGTACGTCAGAACCTCTCTGTGCTCCAACTCTGTGCTCCACCTGCTCATGATCCCCCCACCAAGTCCACCTGGTCGAGACCGACGAATGGCACCCGGAGACTGACCGGGTTTGGGTCGGGTCGGGTCGGTCAAGCGCTGGGTCCAGCTACATGGTGGACTGGTCGGGCTCCAGGGGTTTGCTTCAAATCATTTGAAGGTTGGCTGGCTTGAATCCCATCCTGGAAGATGCGCAAGTGGATGCCAGCTCATCGAAGAAGGGCAGGACCTTGGCCTGTAGGATGGCAGATGGACTGGACTCCATCATGTGTCCCTGGGAAAATATTGGCTAACCCGTGTCCATCTCCAAAATGATGTTGCAGGTTCTCCACTTTTCCTGGGTATGGGATCCTCCCCAAGAGGCTAAGAACCCATTTTACACACTGACCACGTCACGCCACCTCACGATGCGCGAGGTTCACCACCTCTTTTTATACAGAATAATCATTGATAGCGGGCCTGGAAAACCATCCACCATGTGTTCGTTCACTGTGTAATCCGGCTGAATGGACCCCACATCGTTTCAGCCGGGCCGAAACACACCACACCGAGGCCACGGACTCCTCCGACACCCGGTGTTCGGATGTTCATGTTCCAGGGTTCAAATCGGTTTTGGGGTCCAATGCATGCGGAAGACATGCGTGTGGCTTGCTGGCATTGTGGGAGCTGTAGGACGTGCCACTGGTACTTCCGCCAGTTTGGATTGGGCGAGGGCGACTGTTGGGTTCTTCCACAGATCGCTTTCCTGAGTATGGTTCCCTGTTAGTTCACCAGAACAGCATGAATTTGCATGGTAGGGCTTTCAAGGGCATCCATGGGCATCCTAATTCCAAAGCTATCCTAAGGATTCCGAAGGTCTTTCCTGGCAAAGTTCACCGACATTTCTTCTGTTCGGAGCTCATGTCAGTGGGGTATGTCTGATCAATGTATACTCAAATGTACAGTAAGCGTTCACAAGCCTGCTGTGAACCAACAAGGACGGGACTCTCAAACTTCCTCAGCTCCGGTCCAGGTTCTGGGCGGAGCTAAGGGAAGCATGGGCGCAGCTCTAATGACCACTATTGGCAGCAAGTCTGCTCTATTGGTGTGTTGATCACTGACAATGAAAGCACATTTCGGCAGCAAGTCTGCTTTAGGAGGTTCATCAGATCATCAGACTGGCAATTGAGGCACAGAACAAGGTGCCCCCAAAAAAACTTCAGCCTAAGGACTTCTATCAAGGAATGCTTTGAACATCCATGGCCGAACCTTCCCATGCCCCACCTTCCAATGTTGCGCTTCTTCAGGCACCAATGAGGACATCGCCCAGGTGTTGTATCCTGCGCGCGTGATGACCAGCTATCCTTGAGCAGGCCCAAACCACCCGTGAAATACATCATTAACCATACATTTATCATAATATGCCCAATGAACATCATGAAAAATGATCCTTCCATGTGAATAGCTCTCCAATGATGAATCTATAAATTCTATATAACTATTCCAGTCCCAGGGATGCTCTGGTGTTGTTGAAACGCGTCAATTGCTGCCAAGCCACTGCGCTGGGACCGAGCCTGGCATCGAAGGGAATCGAAGGTGAATTCTGATTGGTGCTTAGTAGATCTTGGCAGGGAATGAGGAAATGGACGTTCTAAAGGTTTCTCAGGAGCCATTTTCCGAATGGACCCTAAGGAATCTGCTAGAGCTGAGCCAAAAAGAAAACCTTCTCCTCCCCACTCGTACAAAGCACTCAGTCTTGGGTCAAGAGGTCCCTTTCTCCTCTTTGATCTCTTGAGTTCCTCTAGCCTCCTGCATGCAGAGTCGGACCCTTCAAAAAGGATCTCCGATGGCGCAGAATTCGGTCAGGACTTACACTCTCTGCAACCAACATGGTGAGGTGGATGGTATGGAAAACCATGAAATAGGAAGATCCAACAGGGAACTCCACTTCGTGAGTGATGAGCATATTTTGTTATATCCGCAGGATGCCCCCCTGCACACTTCTTGGGGAATGCGGACATCATGAGAAAATCAACTTGTCCCAACATGCCCCCGGAAAGCTTCACACCGGGCACCACCTCTGGCTCAATGGCTTGAACAAGCCCTGGGGATCTCTGGGGTATGTGCTTGACGAGCTTCGTGGAGGGATATTCGTCCTGCTGCCCTTCCCCACGGCACTCTGGACTCTTTCACTGGGAACGCGCCTCCCCATCAGCCACCATGTCAGCGGTCCTTTCCTTCAGTGCGTGGAGGGCGCAGGACCCCGGTAAATCTGTTGCAAGCATTGCTAGGTGGAGGACATGCATGCAATTGAAACACATCAATGCATTGGCAAATGCACGAAAGAATTCGGGATTATGATAATTTAGGATCCCCGCTTTAGGCTCGCTGACAGGTTAGCTTGCTCCAAACTGGTACTGCATGTAGAGTTTGGGAGTAAATTTTGTGTTGCCCTCCTGACTGTTCACTTCACATGCTTCATTGATTCCTACTGCTTTCTGGATCTTCTCTTCAATCATCCCTCAAACATCCCCACCAGATCTGCTAGAACGGTAGATGTTGCCACGTTGATCATACTACAGCACTTGGGCACTGATCTGTGTTGCCGTGATGGTACCGGTGCTTTTTCTCTTTTCGAAGCGCAAATCCGCGACTGGGTGTCTCCATGCTTCAACGCCAGTGCGACTTGCGGCTTGTATCTCAGCCAAATGTCCACGTCATGATTCACATACCCTTCGCGGTTGGAGGTTGGAATGGGGTACCAGTCCAAGTGGCAGGACCCAACTGGGCCATGTGGGAGGAGCCAACTGAATGATCTAGTTTTGTCACACCATCGAAACAGTGGAGTCACAGCCTCTATTAGCTCAGTGGTTAGAGCCATCTGTTTGGAAAAAAGCAGCGAAAGTCCCTGGTTCCCTTCTCTGCCAAGCATCCCCCAGATGTTTGGCCACATGTTGCGCTGTCTGTGCCTGATGCCACCGGCAAGCGTCCTCGCCGCAACTTCAAGGAAACCGCCGGCCTTGGCCTCCCCGGACAGTGTTTGCCATGAGTTTTCATTGACCATCAACGTGATGACTATATGTTTGCCGGTTTTGGGGGATATCTTAGTATACACGATTTCTCCCTGTCAACTCCTACTGGTTAGCAGTGCTTGGGAGAGATTATGGCCATTGCAAACATCCATAAAACACACACGCCGGCAAAAGCGACAATCATATTCAGGACCAGTGGTAGAACAGCCTTTCCGTCTGGGGTGGGGCTTCCCTATACAGACTTCCTACCATTTATCACCATTTTACATGCTTTCATCTGATCGCCTGGGGTGTGCTGCCTGCTTCACCACCGCCTTTCACCGGCACCCAACCGGTGTCACCCCCCACTCTTCAGTCCTCGAGGCGGAGCTGCCGTGGCTCGGACAAGGTGGGCAAACAACGGATGGGATCCTCCATGCCTTGCAGCCGAAAGGGTGGGGTTCACCCCACGGACGGTCTGAAGCACGGCGGGTATGCGCGGCGGAAGATCTAGATGGGCTCAGGGGCGGCGGTGCGTCGGTCTGGGCGGTGGCCTGTGGATGTTTGGAAAGGTGTGCCTTTTGTCGAAAAGAAGAGCCACTGCAGGAGTGAACTCCTATGGTTCCTGTTGTGTCTCTTGGGCTTGCGCAAGCGATGAACGTGCTGTTTGGGGGGGTTGAAGAAGGTTGACAGGGTATGAAAAGACCGAGCTTGCTCAAGCTTGTTGAACGAACGCAGTGCAAAAGCCGGATCACACCAACTATCCAGTTTCTTCAAAGTAATCCTTTTGAGGGTGCGTAATTGACCCTTTAGAGGCTTAAGTGACCTTAACCCAGGATCTCAAGTTCGGTCACTTTGAAGAACCTACTTTAGAGGGTAATGATCTTCCTTTCGACTTTAACGATTGCTGGGTCTATTTTTTGTTGCATGATTAATTCAGCCGTGCATATTACTGTACTTTCTATAGATGTACTTCAATATGGATCGAGCAACTCGCAAGCCGCGTCCTTTGCCTCTGACCGATCTCGAATCATAAAAAAGAATGATCTTCAACACGAATTGAACCAACTCAAACCAGTCGCGTACATTAGGGTCATGCATGGAGTAAACATCTGCAAGGATTGCATACCATGGATCGCCGATGATTCTATGATCGTCTGGGCATGATTGAACACGATTGCGAACAACCATGTGTTTGTTCGGCATGCTGTAGGACAAATCCTGCTGAGGGACCACCTTTAAACCTGTCACTGATGGCTCGGTAGCAGTATGTAGACATCCGAGCTACCTCCTTTTCGCACCACGACTCAACGAGTATCATGGAACATCATGACCCAAACGAATAGCCTATACCATTCCAGGTCCCATCAGATGCTCTATATAGTACCATATCCAGATATCACTCCAAATATCCCATCCAAAAGAAGAAACAGCTCGCACCTGCTGCTGCCTGCGCCCGCTACTTCTCCCGCTCACTCACCCGGCTTGCCTCGCCGGTCTCCGCCCTCGGCGCTCGGCGCGAAGCGAGTCGGCGCCCTCGCCGAGGTGCGGTACTGCGTCTGCACGTCCTCCTCGCTGCCGAAGGCCCGCCAGACCGTGCCGCTGGATGTGGTGGTCGCTAGGAACCGGTCGTGGCTCACCTGGGAGAGGCGGAGAGGCGCGGGAGAGGCGCACCTGGCCGGGCGCCGGTTCAGTGCACGTTCCAAAGGGAGAAGAACGGACACGTGTGACAGCTTAAACAACCCGACAAGTCAATGACCTCGGTCATACATACACCCCCCAAAAAAAAACACGACTCGAGGAGGTAAAGGACCAGGTTTTACTAGGCCTTTCGACTTGTAGGGTGATGTATAAGTGTATGAAGCACTCACTCCTGCTGCTGCGGCTCCTGCTGCTGCGGCGGCTCCTTGCTACTGCTGTTGCTACTGCCATTGCCACTGCTAGCTGCTACTATATTGTCCATCATCATCTAACATCAAACTGTTACCAGGATAGATCCCATGCCTCATGACCATCTCTATGCCAGTCTATGCCTCAGTTCCTCTCCGGGCTGCTGCTGGTGGGTCTTGGTGCATCCCTGCACAGGCCACGTGGAACTTGCCCCCGACGTTCACCTGGGCAATTGGAGAACTGGGTGAAGAAAACGGGCTACACACCGTCTGTTTTTGTTGGCTTTTTGGAGAACTGGGTGAAAGCCAAAACGCCCACAAAACACGTTTAAGAAATTGAGAGCATACACGCACTTGCACCACGGAACAGTTGGAAGTTCCTGTTCCCTTCGGATGTAGACATGCAGACTCTGACTTGAAGAACCTCTTGACAGTTTCGAACGATCCCCTAAAGAGTATCGCTTAGACCCTTAGACTTGAACAAACCAATAACAACTTCATCCATGATGAACCTTCCATCTCGATGTGGTTCCTGGCAGCTCGTCTTCCACCCCTATGGATCCACAGACCGAACCTGAGGTGGTGATTGGAGATATTGGAGACTATTTATATAGGCTTGGAAGGTCCAATTACCTTCTGAGAAGGTATGTGGATCCATAGGGCACATGTTTGAGGTTTCCCAGGGAAGATGCGGGGAATGTCCGCGAACCACCGATGGAGCAGTTGTGTGATTTTCAGGAGGTTGTGCCATGATGCCACTCTCATGGAATGGGATAGCTGCATAGCGACTCCACTCCCCCAGCTGCTAGATAGATGAACATGGTGTATACAATGTAGTCTGGTCGGTTGATTGATAAGGCCCACCGTCTCCAGGATGGATGGTTTTACTTTTATATCTCTGGGCTTAGGATGTTGATCGATGTTTTAACGCATTTTCCACCAAATCTACACCCTGAAGGTCTAGGTGCGTGCAAAGGATACTCCTAGGAAACCACTGAACTTGACTTCCCTAGGTCTAACTCTTGGGAATTCTTGGGATATGATGTCCATCACCTGAAGCGCGCCCAAACCTGCCTGCGGAGCCGAGTGGCGCAGGTGCGAAGCATGTGGCTCTCCCGGTCGTCCGAGAGGAACTGATGACCCTCGAGTGCCTCACTGAAAGCGGAGAGGATTCCAGTGATGATCGAATGAAAACGAATGAATTTGAAGGAGACAGCTGAAAGAAATGAATTAAGAAATGCTTTGAAGCGAGCTTCGTTGGCTTCAAGTGATAACCTGGCACCGCCGAAAATAGAAAGGGAATTGAAGCTCTTTGAGTCCACAGGTGCCGCAGCTGCTCTGTGATCTGGTCGGCCGAGCAAGCGAAACGAAGAGCATTTCAGCTGCACAAACGGGCTCATTGCGCTGACCACACTGCCAGCTGTGAGACCCTAAAATGGTGGTAAAGATCTAAAACATTCTATAAAGCACAAACCTCTTGGGCAAGGAAATGTTCAAACATCCTGGCCTGAACAGCCCGACGCCGTCAAAGGCCACCCCGGAAAAGCTTCGCATCAGTCGAGGAACTCGTGACGACAACTTTTCTTGACGGCCATGGAAGAGTGCTGACTTCCAACTGGTCACGCCTTGGTGCGGATGGACAAGGCAAATAGAGCAAAATGAATTAGGACCGCAAGGTCCCTCTGGGCAATGTAGAATGCACCAACACCAAATGACTATAGCTGCTTTATGCTGCTCCGTTCACTGGTGATGATCCCTGGCAAGTGCCACAGAGGCAGGTACTGTTGGAAAACCCCATGAAAATCATCTGTGCTGGTTTGGCGGGTCGGGCAAATAGTCAGCATCGGGTGGGTGGGATGACGGGCCGTGTCACGGGTATGCCCTGTGTTGAACACCTATTGCCGAGCCAGGCGTTTTCTGATTTTTATGGTGTTGTAGGTGGTCCTGAAATATGTTTAGATAAAGGGTGAGTGAAACATAAACTGATCAAATATGATCAAATTATTTACATACTTGTTCTTTTTCAGTGACAGCAAGAGACTCCCATGGTCGAGGAAGTTTCTTTTTAAAAATGAGATCAGCTCGTTGTCTACTTTGTGGTTGCTTGTGATATACTGTGTTTTTGTCCTTGTGCTTGGGCTTGTGTAGAGAGCTCGTCATGATATCCGAGAGACGCCAAACAGGATCATCTAGCATGATGATTGGCGTGGAGCTTTGAATATACCTGTCGCAGGGATCCCTAAGGCTCCAACCACGTCCTCAAAAGGCAGTTAGACCATCCAAACCTACCCCGGCCCAACCACCTTCTGAGGGTATGGTTGGAGCCCTAGGGCATTTAGCCCGGAAAAAGAGGTGATCCCTGGGTCCGACCGTGACTTATGTGACTCACAAATTGCGACCGTGGTCCGTCTGAGAAGAGCGTCAGGAGGGGCGTCGCCCGGGATGCATTGGGTTGTCTTTTTTGTAGGCTCACTCCCTCAGTTTCCCTGGATAAGGGTGAACATGGCAAGGGGTGAATCATGTTTCTGTTGGTTTGAGATCTTTTGAGTAGGGTTTCAGTGGGCAAACCCATCTTCACCCCACCCTGGGCGCAAAAATGAACCTTCTCCACGTGTACTTCGGTCACCCAACCCTCCCATATTATCCCAGATCCGCAGTCCCAAGGGGCTGTCCAGTTTCATGTCTTGGAGCTTGGTGGTCAGCCCCACGATCACCGGATGACACAGCAAGACCGCCTGGGGGGATTCCAACGGCACAACTCGAGACGAAGCATTCTTCCCGCGGCTTTTGGTTTTTCGAAGCATTCTTCCCGCGGGTTTTTTAAATGTTTTTTCTTTCAATGGCGGTGCCAGCACCGAACACGCGCCACGCTGCGGATTTGAAGGCGAAGAAGACCAGAGTGGAGTACTTTTAGCCATTCTTTGGGGGCGTCACCTCCTCGAAGCTGAAACAACCTCCACGAAACTGAAACCACCGGAATAAGGTGTTCCATGTTTTTTTCTCCGGCAATTCAGATCCACATACCAAGTGCTTCGGACTAGGGAAGCATCGTTTCTGGTGCTGTAAGTGTCGCTGGTATCTCTGTGGCACCGACAGGGCTCATTTCGGTTTACAAAAATGACCTAACCCTGGAAGTCCAAGGCCATTTTCTGAAGGGTTGATCTGTTTTTGCAGTGCAAAACCCTTAGCAGAACAACGGTTGGTTCGGTAAGGGCTATTTACTAAATGGTGGCTCGACTTCTAGCATCCTTTGTGGGGGCCCAGAATCAGAAGGTGGCGAAGTCTTGGTGGCCTGACTCCCTGAGTTGCCCTCGCGGAACATAAGGGTCAACCGACCCTTCCTCACCCTCGTTTTGAAAGGGGAATCCAATCCCCCCCAAAACAACAGCCTCAAGGTTGTCCACAAACTGGGTCCACATAGTACCACAGGTGTTTGGAGAGGTTGAGACGGGGGTCTCCCTAGTTAGTTTCACACTCCAGGTCCAACGAAACCCACCAAACTAATTTGGTTGAATGGTGTAGTTCTTGTGCCTCCACCTCCCACCTCCTACAAACAAGCACAAAGCAATTGAATCTTTCATATGTCATATCTAGATTTCAAATACTTGGACCTCGATTTCAAACACTTGGACCTCACGAATTGAAGCCCAAACTCATGTCAATGGCCTTCCATCTTCTTCCTCTTCAGCCCTCGCGTCCCTTCCGCTCCCTTCCGCACCCACCGTCCCTTCCGCACCCTTCGCCCAGCTCGCCCAAGCCGCCTCCAGAGGCGGAAAGAAGTGAGGCAAGCGCCCCGCGGCACGTCGTTCCTGCGTTCCGAGGTCTTCCGGGTCCGTCGGACGGAGGCCGGCCGATGAGCCAACGGCTGGGGCGCCCGTCCGGGTCCAAAACGACCCTGGAATCAGAGGTGAAAACCCAGGTGTTTGAGCCTTTAGTGGGTTTGTCAGGTCTTGAAGAACCTGCTGTTGGCATAGAGTGGTGGGTGTTCGTGGTTTCGAGCTATTTGATCTCACATCTTCGATGACCAAAAGGTGCTTAAGGAAGGGAAGAACACCAAAGGTGATAAGTGTGCGCTCTGAGAATTTAGGAGCCAGGGGGGAAGTTGAGCGTGTTTACACATGTTTACACTGCAGGCTGTGGGGGGGAATCCAAAGACACAATCAAGTCAAGACTCAAGACTGCCAACCATAGACTGTGGTTTGGGTGTCTATGATTGGCAGTCTCGACTTGATGGAGCATATATTTATAGAAGTCAAAAGCCACTGAATCGGGGTGAATCGACATGAATCAAGTATAATCAAGTGAATCAAGTGCATGAAACACTGTTGGGTCTTCCTCCAACTTCCTCCTCCTCCAACTTCCTCTCCTCGTTGACGTTCTTCATCTTCATCTCATAGAGACTTTGCTCCGAAGCCGTGAGGAACATGCTCTTCCCTGAGCCGCCGGTCAAACGGGTCCCCGCCGTCTCGCGCGCGGACCACGGTCTGGGCGCAGACTTCGGAAGCCACGAAAACCACAGGATCCGGACTGGGCTCCAACTTCCTCCGTTTCGGTTCGGTGGTTGGGGTGGGCTTCACGGGGTCTAACCACCTTCTAAGGAGATGGTTGGAGACTTAAAGTATAAGCAGGTGGTTGAAACATGTGTTTTAACCAGGGTCACCACTGGGGTCCATATATGGCGTATCTTCCACACATGCTGGCGCACGATGACCTACCAAAGCCTTCCAAAACCCACCAACATGTAGGCCATATTTGGGACTCCACCTGAAGACATGTTTTGGAATGAACCCACCAAAGACCAACCACCCCGTAATTACCGATTTTGAGGGCCTGGAAAGGAGATGAAAGAGTGTGAAAAGGAAGCGCCTCGACAGTGGTGTAGAGCCCGATTAGGTCCATTCTAGGCAAAAGTCAGTTTCCCTACGGCCGATGGTCATTGGACTTGGTAAGTGCATAACCGTATCTGTGTGGATCACATGCTGGCTTTTGCAGGTACCGTTCTCCATGCATGTTGAGATCCTACGACGACCATACGCACTACTTGCATTCATATTCATAGATTATTCATAGCTCATTTTTGCCACCTGCCATTCCTTCTTGCATTCATACCCGCCCCTGCTTGCTCTCCCACGCAGCTTGGGTGCCTCGAATCACCAACATCAGCGTCTGTTGCAGAGATAGCCAGGGTAGATCTTCGATGGTCTCTTCGAAGAAGCGGAGACGATAACCTCGGTGAAGCCGCGGCCCCATGTTGAGAGCACCAAAGGGTCCTGCCATGACTATGTGGGGGGTAGAGGACGCTACGAACGGAGCAAAGGGCATCGCTACGAACGGAGCAAGGACGCTACCAACGGGGCTCCTGGCCTTACTATGACATAAGTCGAACATACTGTAACATACTACACAAACCTCGTTTGTTGAGTGACCTCTTCCTGATTCGAGAAACTCCAGCGCCCGAGTTTCAAACAGTCTCCGGTCTACACCGGTCCCTTTCCGCCAACAACCGACCTCTCGTCCTCGAAACGGTCGCCGGTCGCCGTGTTTGCTCCGCTTCCGCGAAGACCACACGTGTCAAAGGAAGGGTGTTCTCACCGGGGCGGCAGTAAGCGAAGGAAACGAGGAACGCTTGATGATCCGAGGCCCAGTAGAAGTCTTTTCTTCCTCCTGCACCGCCTGAAGAATGAAGGCTGAACCAAAAAAAACAAAAAACACATGCCAAGTTCCTGGAACCGGCCAAAGAAGCAACGCTTCTCATTGCAACTATGACATCTAATTAGTTGCCGATATATCCAACAGCTGCACCCAAGAGGGTTGCTCTTAGTCCTTCTTCCCTCCAAGTTCCATCACGTCCTTGTCTCCCGTCTTCACTCACCTCTCTGACCCTCTGCTTGAGCAGCTCCTCTGCTGCCCGCTGCACCGCATTCCTCAAGAGTCCCAGGTCCCACTGTGCGCCGGCTCAGCAGGTGGTGGGAGGGGGTTCACAAAAGTCATTCAGCTGAAGGAAATCTTCACCGTGTGTTGCCCTAAAATATCTAAAATGCATTAAAAAAACCCTCAAGTTGAATGCTCTTGAAATTTGGATTGCACCAATTAAATCAAATGTGGTCTCCCACCCCACGCATCTTGAGAAACAGAAAACAGTTTCATGGTGGATTCAAGCGGCACATGCAAATCAAAAAATGATGAACAATGGTTGAACACATCTGTGGCAAGTTTTTGATCTGGAGTCAGTGTCCCCCAGCTCACGCCCAAAGTTAAACATCAAACCTTCCTGGCACTGGGTTCAGTTCAGTTTGTAGGGCTCAGATTGGCCGAAGAACTCCATCAGCGAATGCATGCGTCGCAAAGGATGCGAATCGATGCAAAGCTGGAAAAGGATGCCGCCAATTGGATCCAATTGGATAAACCCCCTAGTGTCCCAACACTATCCCCTCAAAAGGATCAACACTATCAGCCCTGGCCCATCTGAGCGCTTGCACACATAGTAATGCTCGAAGTGCTCGACACCCATGAGCTTCACCTTCGCCTTGTTCCGCGCCTCAAATTCGAGCTTCCAATCGGTTCAGGACTCCTCAACAAGGGGGAATGTCCCCCTAGACTGAGCTGGTGAATGATCCGATTTGCCTCCGACCACCACTGGCCACCACAAAATGGATTAAAAGTTGGACTAGATATTTATACACTTTAACACACATTCTGATACATTCCGTGCTTTTTTACGCTGACTCACGAGGCCCAACCAGGTCTCACATCATATGTACATCAGAACTTGCACGATCCCAACACGCAACTCTACCAGTTCTCCATCAACGGTCTCCAAATCGGCGGGAATCGGCGGCACTTCTCCATCAACTGCTCGTGTCGACTTGAAGGGCGGCGATGACGCCTTTCTGCGATGCCGTGAGTATGAGGCTCTCCTCCATGAGATTCGGGCACTTGTGATCCAACAAGCGAAAGACCTCTTCATCCATGCCATTCCGAAAGAACATGTTGCATGTTTAAAACATCTGCATTGTCCAAATCGGATGCACTCCAGCCCCATCTGCAAAGTGCAAGTGAAGAAAATTCTTGCATCTTCCAAAAAGAACTTGTCTGGCTTTGTGCAACGGTGAGCTATTCAATAGCCAGTGGGTTCAATAATCCCAAGTAGAGGTTGAAAATATTATACACCTAGTCCAATGTTCCTTCAGCGCGCCGCCATTCTGCTCTGCTCGCTCTTTGGCCAAGCTCTCACAGAGCCAATAGAGAGGACTAGTTGTCTCCATGGCAAGGTTCGTTCGGCTCTGTCTAAGAGTCTACGCAACTCTATCAACTATATAGTTACAATGTTGATACATAGACAAACAAATATGATTCGATATAGGTCTTTGAGACAAGGAGAATCACCGGAGCATCCAGGTGCATGAATCTGAAACAAACATCTGGTGGAGCTTCAGGAATCCAAGGGGCCGTGGAATGCACAAGATGCCCCATCCAGGCATATCATGCTATACCCAGGTGTAATGACACCAATCATTATGCCGAATGCAACAACTACGAAACTGTTCTGTGTCTTCATGCTCTACCACTCAATACTTGAGGACAATGGCTGTCATGAACATCTTCTGCAGCTCTTCGAGTAGCTCCTAGCTGCCAAATGTCAAGTCATCCAACTGGCCTTGATGGACCAAAACACCACGTGCCGCTCACGTGCCTGACAAGAAATATAAGACATCGAGGTTTCGATGTCCCGAACTCTTGAGGTTCCAAACTTCTGGACGGTTCTCCTAGACTCGATGGATTTTTGTTGAGCTAGTCATGTTGAAGCCCAGCAGTGCCCATTCAATCATTTCGGATGGAATGTACATGAGAATAGTAAGTCATATTAAGTATATATATATAGTCAGGGTCCATCAACCACCCGAACGTTCGGGGTGGTGCCATGTTCTGTATGTGCGAACTCGTTCGCGGCCCCTTTTTCTCGACCGAAACATGGTGGCGACTCGCTCCACAGCGGCACATCGCTCGGTGAGCGCCTCGTGCCTCGCTCGGTGAGCGCTGAGTTCTTCCCCGACGGTGGAACGCTCCCCCTGGCAGAAGGGACATAGACCAATCTAGCTACTGGTTATGGAGTCTCTACTGGGGTCTCCCCCCTATTCAAGTGCACACCCAAATACCTCCGTTGCGATTGTGTTTAGGGTGAGGGTTGGAGGGTCCAAGTACCTGCTGAGAAGGCATTTGGGGCGCCCCCCAAGGCCAGGAGACCACCCAATGAAGGGAACAAACCTGGTCTGTGACATCATGTGACATGTCATGTCCTCCAAAAAGAAGAGAGACAACCCACCATGAGCATGAGGATGGATGGCCTGACACACCAAAAACATGTCTGTGGGTCAAAACCCCAAGGCCCTAATCCCGGGTAGGTTGACTTAGGTTGAACTCCTAGTAGTCTATTCTGTTCCTCTTCAAGGCTCAACCATCGCCCGGTTCTGACCCACAACCAGATATGTGCAGCTGCGGCACTCAGGTCATCAGGTCCATCTATCGCGCAGGTGCGCATGCCAGCACAGCACGTAGGCGATGGGGTTCTTGGGGGACGCCCGGGGACGCGGCAGCTGAGAGGTTTCTCGTCTTCGAGCAGCGAACGTCAGGAAAAGCTGCTCCAAATAAAGGGACTCAGCTCGTGATTCGCGCTGAAACACTCTTTTCAAAAAAGTAATGAGAGCTTCGGCAGCCCCGAACAACCCTTGCTAAAGAAAGCCCCTGGTATGGAGGTGTCGAAACACTCGTCAACATATATCAGCATTACATAGCATCATATCAACTGTTGATTATCTAACAATAGTAATAACAATTTTCCTTCAACGAAGGGTGCATTGCATGGTTTGGAGTTTGGATATGTTCGGATTCAGAACATCAAGCAAATTGAAGCCGACAAGGTGGTTCCCAAACAAGAGGGCTGCCACTGGCGCACCATTGACATCCTGATACCACCACCTCACCACCCCAGCTGATCGGGAAAAAAACAGTCCCAAGGTCGTGGTGATTGCTGCATCCACGCAACTTGTCGTGTCCGCTTTCGAGTGCAAGGCAGCGATGACAACAACCTTGAGCGATCCCAAAGCAGCGGCAGGCTCTGCAGAAAAAAAACAAAGCATGAATTGCATGAACCACTGGCTGATGCCAAGTCCGAAAATATAAATCCCACTGTAGGTACATATGCCAGTCCCACCAGACGTGTTTGGGCATGATCTTTCTGTATGTTTTTTCAAATCATCATTCACCTGGACAAAATTCTCAAAGATAAAACCCTATGTAGGTGACAGTTCTGCAGGTGCTTCTGTCAAAGGATTGTGAGACACACCCACGAGGATCCTTGCACTGTTACATGGAAATGGGTGGGCTTGGCTACATCAACAAACATGTCCCTCTCCCCCCTCTCTTTCTCCAAGGGGATGCTGTATTTTACAGCTTTGCACAGGCCCAACGTGAATGCCAATCTGATCGTATAAGGCACACGGAGTACAGCACTAGCTCCAATGTTGTTTTGGTAGTTCATCAGGCGTGGCACGTACTGTAACTAGCGCTATACCAAACAAAACACCTTATCATTATGGGAAGTCTATTCTATGGGAGCCGCAGGCTTAGCAGTCAATCCGACCCCGTCTTGAGAGGAAACAGGCACATCTTCTTGGAATGCCAAGGACCACTCGCATTCCATTATAGGCACCAAACCTATTAAGACTTATAGTGGCTTCTGGAGGGACAGGTTCCGTTCCAAGTGGTTTCCGGGGTCCATGATGCTCTGCAGCACATGAAAACTTACTAATCTATACCCCCCCAGATGCCCCCAGCATCGCACGCCGGTCTTCCCGCCTCTAAAATGTGACAGGATCGTCTGGAAGGTGAAGGAAAACCACTGCAGCCAGAGGAAGAGGCCGCCGGCAACTCCCCCATGGCAGGTCCAGTGATGACCACGTTCGCTCTGCTGGCCAAAAGCGCAAATCCTCGAGCCGGTCGGCGGCGAATCGCCAGGCATGTCGCTCGAGACTGGTGGGCTTTCAAATGAAAAATGATGAAAGAGCACCGCGATTTTATGGTGTTTTCAGAATAAATGGCACAAACCGGGGTCCATACAAACCACCTTTTTGGCGATTGTGCAATCTACTCTCAAACCACGTGTTTTGGAGGCGCGTTTTTACCAGCAACATGGCTGTGGGTCAAACCGTGGGGGATCCCGCTTGACCAATGAACACAAACGAGGTCTACCTACCAAGTTTGGGGCTCGCCATTTTTTGACTCACCGAGAGAAATAAAAAACATCAATATAGATCACTCAAAGACTCAAAAATCCACAGTTACAGACTCACCAAGCTGCTGACGGATCTTGTGGGGTTGCTGACCTTGTGGAGGGGCATAGGGGCTTGAAACGACATGGCGATTCAGGTTCGGGGCGCTGCACCACCCCAGTCCTCTCAGGTGAGATCTGTCAACAGCGAGGCCAGCAGCAAGCATCGACCTCGGCTCTGATGGGACCTGATGGTCCTCATCTTGTTCCACATCACGAGGTGTTTCTGGAGACGTTTTGAGGCAGGAATGGCCGTCAGTCGACCGATCGGCACTCCGGACGTGGCGAACAAACCGGGAAGTGGACCCATCTACCACAAGACGGCCACCCGGGCAATAGAGACGCATGAATTGACTCGCTATGGCAGCGTGGATTGGGTGACTCGGTGACTCAACTTTCACAGCCATGCTCCGGGCGAAGGCCAAGAGGGCGGGTATCGGCTGGTGGCGAATTTGAAGCTTCCGGCTTGCTTAAGCCTCCTCTCTTCAAGTTCTCCCCCATGGTCCCATCCTCAGCTCAGTCACCCAAAGGTCGCCAGCTGGCACCCACCTCCTCGTCCAGCACGGGCTCCTGCGCTCGGTTTTTTCGGCCGCATTGGACTGAGAAGCGGAGGCTGCAAGGAGACCAGTGAAGACTGCAGTAAGTGATCTTCATTTCATTCCCTTCATGCTTGGCCTTTGGCTGCATGTTTTTAGAAACAGAGCAGTTAGAAACAAAGCAGTGAGAGAAGGGTTCATCCATGCAAGGTGAGGGCAATTCCCGATCATTCAACTGCATGAGGACCCTGCCTGTTGCAAATACTGTGTCATGTCAGTACATGTTCTCGCTGTTCCCAGCAGTCCTCTTGCAAGGTCAGCCCGGGCAATGGGAAACGAAGCACGGAGCCCCCCACAGGAATCTTGACTACCTAGGCGCAGAGATGCAATGAAGTGATGGATCAGGTTTACCCTGCAGAATGCCAGAATGTCAGAACAAGAATTCAATAGCTGTCTTCAACTCTGTCTTCAATATGTGCCAGAGAATTCCAAGGGCCATGAAGTAAGTAGGAGGAGGGTTGACGTTTAATCAAACATCGTGAGTGAAAGGCTACAGGTCCTCGTCAAAACATGCAATGCAATACGTCGTTGCAGGTGAGAAATCCCACATGTGGTTTGATCACATCATCCATTCAGATGCATTCCAAACGAAAGGACCATATCTTGAACGATGCCCTATTCCTATTCCTCTTGAACATGAACCTGGCGTGTGATCGAACATGCAACGTGAACCCATTTGACACCAGTGGGAGGAAACCACATACTTTGGGTGCTTGGTAGACTTGAAAGTCTAAATAGCGGGCTCATATATGGATTCTAGGTATGTATACGTTAACGTATAACACAAGCAGTATTGTGTGTCCATGAATGTCAAGCACACACACAAACCTAATTATGAAAAACAACACATGTTGACACATATAAAAATACTCTAAATAGATTATGGTTAAAATATATAAGCTTCCGCTCTTCTTTCTAGACCAAGAGGACGATCAAATCGTCTC